TTTTTTTTTTTTTTTTTTTTCTCCATTCTTTCATTCTGGTTCACATTCTGGTTTTGTAAAAATTTCAGATCAGCTTTGATTGCCATGAGCATCCTCATTACTCCACATAAACAGACTAGTCTGTATTCTGGCTTACTGAGATTTCATCCAATATTGCTAAAACTAGAATTTGAAAATCTATACCACACAGATAGTAAATCTGACGCTGCTCACTAACTCAGTTCTCCCTTCAACCTCAGTTTACCCCCTCTAATGTGTTTCACCTATCTGTCCCTATCACCAGTATCCGCACTGATGTGCCTTTACTCACACAGTTCCTATCCATATGATTTGCKATAGCACTTGCTGTAACTCCTTTGTAAAAACACTGCTGTGGAACGAAGGAAAAAATATCTCACAGCCACTTTGGCAACAAAATCCCAGACTTTCCAGGCTGGAGCCAGTATCTCAGCTCTATCTTTTGCTGACAAACAGCAAYAGTTTTCAGAAACTGCATGCATCATGATGTCTTTGAGACTGACTTTTTCTTTTTCCACCTCAACTCATTTTCTATGGATTGGGAGTGGAGACTCACAAAAATTGCATTTCTGAGTACTGCTGCATGGTGACTAGCAGGGTATGCTTTTTTTTTTTTTTTTTTTTGAATAAAGTGGAATAGCTTGGTGCTAAGAAATTATTCACTGCATTGACTGATAATGATCCCCTAATTCTTGCTGCAGATCTTTCTTACCAACTGGTGGTTCATAATACTGATTTATTTTTCTCTATTAGTATTTGTATTTGGGTGAGTGGCTGGCTCCCTTCTCTCTACTTTACTTATCATTCTAKGATAAAATTTTGTTTAGAATATCTTTATGTATTTACATATTTCATTTTTTTTCAGGAAGCGTCCTGGCTTCCAATCACTACCTTTTCAATTATCTGAAAATTGGATTTGAAAACTTTGAAAYCTACACTCTAATCTCATCACTTTTCTAATTTGCCTTGCATTTTTCCCAATATTGAATAAAAGGGATAAACCACTTATCATGAAAGGACTGACTTTGCAATAAGGCACTAAAAATATTTAAATTGAGATATATTGTGGAAAGCTGWTCTGACAGACCTGCACAACATTATTATCACTGAAGCAATCGAATTCTCAAAAAGCTGAAGCTCACAGAAGTTGTRGGAAATTCAGTTATTATCAATTGATTAATAGTTCTAAATTATTCTTACCTATTCAGACTTCCAGCCTTCACTGACAAGATAAAATAGATTAACTCTCCATTTAGAATAAATACAACTTCCCTATTTGGATTTTTAGCTCTTCCTGATTATAACTGGGAAATACCTGGCTTTTCTATAGGTTCTTCCTGATTTTTGTGAATGTCTATTTCATTAGACTAAAAACAATCTTCAAAATTTCTTTTTGCTTCAATGGGGTGATCACCAAGTCCAAAAGGAGAAGAAATGAGAATCAAAATTTTAGAAACAAACAAACAAAAAGCACTGAAGAGGAGCCAATATAACTAAATGCTGTCACAACAGCTACAATAAAATCAGGAAATATAAATTTCAAATAATATTGTCTATATCACAGTAACTCACAAGCAATAGAGAAAAACAAAATTGCTAAGGATTTAGTTCCAGGTCCAATATCCAAGAATACTTTCCTTTTTTATTTTTTATAATTACATGGCAAATTAAGCTTGCGTTCTCCAATCTGCTCAGTTACCCCATAGCTACTATTACTTCCTTGGCAAGAACAAAGTAAGCAAGTAACAGCAGATTTTGTTTAGGATTTTTCTGGTTTGTATTTCTCGGGATTATTATTTAATCTTACATGAAATGTTTTTGTACTTTGGTAAAACATCAAAGTATGCTAATTATATGTTACATTAATTATCTTAATCATTACTACACATATGTAAATAGTTACTACGCAGTTATACAAGAATTAATGTTAATTGCATCTGGGTAAAATATTTTCAGGTATCTTAGGAGTCATTCTACATCAGTAAATATAATTCAGAACTATAGAGGTATACAATAAGGTTTCATAAAAGTAAAAATCATTGTTTTTCCATCTCAATGCTGACTGAAGAGAAAAAAATTCTTAACTCCCCCCACTACCACACACACTGATTTGCACTATTCTAAAATATTGTGCTTTCATAAACCATTGAAAAGTCTCCAGTATTCATAGAAGTAATACTGTATTTTACATTTCTTTGTATTGCTTGGAACAATATCCCAATACCATCGTTTAGCTGACCATGACATTCCATCAATCAAAACCTCGTTTTAATTATACACCGTGCTCCTCCTCTCCAAGTGAAYGTGGAAGACATGCAACAATCCATCTCAGAGGAAACACATAGTGTTTAGAATTAAAGAACAGGTTGGGAATTAGTTTTAAATCAGCAATGAGCCTGTCAATTAATGTTGTGAACCCTTGCTATTGACCCGATACTGTACAATCTGCTATTATGCACTCTCCTACATATCATCTGTTCCCCGTGCTGCTCTGTTCCAGGAAGACAGACAGCTGCAACAGTATATCCCTGTTCAACCTGAGGACCATCTGACTTTAATTGTAGCACACAGCTTGATGTGGGTCTGGTTATGAGAAGCCAAAGTATCACACTGTAATAATCTGGAAAAGCAGAAACCTGCCAACACAAGGCTGCAAACAGGGGCTTGGGCTGTCTGGCTGCCTGACGGGCCGCAGGAAATATGATTAATGAGCAAGGTATAATGATATCAGGAACCCGATTAGCACCACAAAAAGGTCACAGATCAAAGTAGTATGCATTTCATGAGCTCCAATCATTGTATAAAATCTGTGGACTTAAAAAGGAAAACTGAAATGCGAAGGGGAAAAATATCTGTGCATGATAGCTTACAAAATGAGCACTTAAAATGCTATAATCAGCATTTTGTCTGAAGCAGCAAGTTGTGAGGAAATACTAACTGAATGAATCTGCCCATGCCATGTTGCAGCAAGCTTTTCCGATATTTCTAAAGCACTAAGCTTCAAGCATTCTTACTAAACACACCCTATTCCACTTAAAATTTGAGGGAAGTGGCATCAAATCAAGTAAGCTTCAGATTCTCAAATTATTTTATTATTTTATCTTTAAATGAGAGTTGGATATGTGATGAACACCTGTTATTCCAGAGTTTTMGTAAATGTTTTTTTTTTCCCCCCAATATCTAACAAAATAAAGAAGCACTTATTGTACAACCTGGATAAAAGAAAAAACTATACTCAGAAATTGAAATGAAGTAATTCCTTTCAATAAGAAATGACTTTAAACAGATGTTATATTTTCTGCTCCTGAACTTAAGAGTGATAATTTCTCTTGTTCTGCTGAATAATTTCTATTTCCCATGGAAGAGGGACTGCATCCTGAATATATAAAGCACGTGAGAAACCTCAAGGAGGGGAGGGGAAGGGGAAGGGAAGGGGAAAGGGGAAGGGGAGGGGGAGGGGGAAGGGAAAAGGAGCTAAAATCTTAAAAAAAGGAAGAGGTACAAGTTGCAAAAGAACTTGAATCCACAGGGGGTGGAAGCCAGGTGTACAAACATTTGAATAAAGCTGCATTTTGTGCAAAGCCTAAAATACCAGTGCTGTGAGCAGTAAGGCCCAAGGCTGCCTTTGCCAAGTCTGCTTAAGAACAGGGCCATCTGACTGGCCCGAGTCACCCAGACATTCTCAATGCAAAAGGGGGTCCTTGTCCCCAGACATTCTCAATGCAAAAGGGGGTCCTTGCCCCGCTGCAACATAACAACTATCAGCACAATGACAAGACCAAAAGTTGCATTTGAACACGGTTTCTCAAACGGCCCTGCTAAATATTAGTGCATTTCATACCTCATTTAAATAAATTTGCACATACTTACATGTGAAGCAAAGCATCATGCACTATTTCCAGTTATCACAGTACACCCTACAATTGCTACAAATATTGAGATTATCTCGCTCAACAGCCTGCAGAAATACAGGCCAGGTAACATCACGTCACCAGTAACTGCACAGCATAAAGAATTCTGATAATTTATAGATAATATTTTTGTTTTCATACAACTGTTCCACAAGTTTTACCAACAGTAGATTTGATGTTCTGCCACCAAAGAATTTTTAAAATGCRTTTTCTACCCTGAGGATATCAGGAGATTATCAAGGATACATCTGGTTTCTGTGAAAAGTTTTTGTGAATTTTGCATGCCTTAATTGACTATTTTGTAGTTAGCTACTTCTTAACAGCTACAGTGTAGTCAGTTTTTCAAGATTCACTGAAAAAGAGATTCTCTAGTTTATTCACTTTGAGAGTAAAACAGCTTTAAGAATGTGCTGAGACACTGATGATGATACTGGAACATATTTTCTGTAAATCATTCAGAGGTTCTGTAATGCTCAGAGATGGCTGTGAAACACAAAATACTAACACTAGGATTTTCCAAAACACAGAAGGGAAGAGCTAACATTGGTGTGGGAAAGGTGACAGGTGAAGACGAATTTAGGTTTGTTTACGTGTAAGAACAGCTCTGAAAATGACTAGTATAACTGCATAAATGGCAGAGGGCTTGAAAAATTAAAATACCATCTTTTCTTTCTGAAGCATTCACTAGATTTTCGAGTTAAGTGGATACTACAATTGAAAAAAAAACTCAGAATGAAAATTACTGCTGTGTTTAAACAGAAGTAATTTTCCTAGGCTCATGTAAAATGATGGTTTTATTCTTTCTTTGAAATCTCTAGATTTGAGACAATAATAAGCAAATAAGATCTACTACATGTTTAAGACACAGTTTTTCTAAGGAATTCCGAAGAAGACAACACACTATATGCCTTTTTCTTTCTTAAACTTGTACACCTATCATCCTTTCTGATCATTTCAACCATACTCCAATGTAAATTATAAGTATCTGTATTTTACAAAGAGCCAAAGCATTTCAGAGAAAAACTGCAAGACAAATATTATTTGTCAGACAATAGAAGATAACCGTCTTACCAGTCTGTTTATGCGAACAAATTCTTCTGGGCTTTTGGCCCATGGTGGAAGCTCAACATCAGACACAACCGTTCCATCATCCATCACCCCTAGATTGTAATTGTTGCTGTTGACAAATATCTCTGGGAGGTAATAGAATTCAGGAATCAATTCCTGTATAGAAATGAAGAACAGTGCCATGTTAAAAATTCTGTCATTGCATACACTTTGCTATATTAAAATATAATTATTGAAGTGCCATTAGGAAGTGAGAGAACAGAGAACATACAAAATCCTGTATTCATATTTCCCTCATAGAAGGGTTCAATTCCCTCTTTCACATCTCCTACAATTTAAATCTTTAGACTTGGCACATACTTATAAACTTTGCAACACAACAAATGATGTCAGATACAACAGGCTAAAAAAAGTCAGAGAATGCCTTTGGTTGGTATCATGCACAGAGAAACTTACAAACTAAATTAATGAACATCACATGATTCAAATTATCCTTAGTAGAAAGCAATGGACAAAAGATAGTAAGATGCTGGGAGAAAACAAACAAAACAAAAACTTCTTTTTACATTTTAAAAAACCTTCTTTTTACATTTTAATACAATCCACATTCCTAAATGCTACACAACAGGCAGTCTGGGTGAAAGTAGCAACAWGTGTATGAATTATCAAGTTCCAAAATCCAGTTAAAATCCTATTCTCTCTAGCATAAAAGAGCTCGCAACCTCATTTGTTTAGGCTATTAACTATGTTTGGTCAATGCTCAGAAATAAATTTTCTGTTGTGTTTAAAGTATCTGTCGTTACACCATGTATTCCAAAAGAACCCAAGAAAATCAAATTGGATCAATATCTTCCTTTGATTAAAAGGCTGTTAAGTCAATTTTGTGTCCAGTCTGTAAATAGAAGGAAGAATAAGGCATAATTTTTCACACACAAATAAACAAACAAACAAAAAGCAATTTTACATGGTTGCAAGGTCTGTGTGCACTGAATTCTTTGTCAGCACGATAACTGCTTTAAACAACTGTGCTGTCTAGGCCTGTTTTGAGCAGGAATAGAAGACWGTACTCTAACATATAAACATTTGACCTGCAGAGGCACTTCTTTAGGCAGAGCTTGCTACACAAGTTTTAAGGAAAAAATGCAAATATATATTTAGTAAATGAAGTGTTACTTCCAAATCTTATGAGAAAATTTAAGTAATATCAATAGCAAAACAAATAACTTTCAAAGCATAAAACAGTACAGCCTAGTGTACAACTGAGCAAGGTCTAAGCAATATGGATTCTCTCCTGCATAAGTGAGATATTTTCCCCTTACACAGTAACAAGTGCAAACTTCCTAAGTCGTGCACTCTGTAGAATACACAGGAGGATATAATACATAAACATGTAAAAAATAACGTGATTAGACTCTTATTTTCAAGCTTTTATAGATTCAGTTCTGCAAAATCCTGGCAAAACAGTTAACAAGAAAAGCCTAACCTAGCACGTACACACATGTCCACCTTTATTACGTATATTAAAGACCTTTTTTTTTTTTTTTTTTGGTAGAACTTGGTGTTGAGACTTAAATACACCCAATAAACCTGGCAATTTGATGGATTTAGAAAAAATGAGCCACTAAATTAGAGAATTTACTCCCTTTGTATAGGAAGGATCAATGCATGTAATTGCTTCAGGAAGTGTATTTCGTAGCAAATAACTGGTGTAAAATTGGTCTTGCATATAGCAAGTGCAAGCTGCATGCCACTTAAGAAGTAGAAAAAAGTCAGGCTGGCTTAGTACTGTCAGCTTGGCATAGTACTGAGCTGGGTCAGAAATTCCGCAGATCAGCCTCCCAACCCAGTCCTGACATGGGTCAATGGATCAGTGGTCTCCCAGATATCCCCTCAGGGCCAGCTATGGCAAGAGCAGCTTTCCAAATGGCTGAGTGCAATGGGGAGGTCATCAGATTGCGGACAAGGTCAATCTGAAGTAGCCAGGGCAAAGACAGGAAAGATCAAGCAGGAATTAAGCTATTATCACCTCCATCCTTGTGTGAAACACTACTTGGCTTTGAATTGTACATCTTTTTGTTTACAGTCACCTTAACTAACTAGGCAGAGTAAAAACGGGCTTCTGTACCAAATGCTTGACAAGCACTTGATAAAAAGTGATTCAAAACTATTTAATTTGATAGCTGGAAAAAATAAAACAACATAGTAGCAAGGATAAATGTTTATAGGAAAGTATTCTAACTGGATCTAACTACTGAAGTCTCAGTAGTTTTTATCGTCACAAGGAGAAACTAACCAAGAAAAGACATAGACACTGCACTATTCATTCAATAGCAGCTTACACCACAAATATRAAACCATACCATGGTTCTGAATACTTCAAACATAAGCTCATTACATATTTTACTCATGTTTCTTTATCTTTTTATATTTATATGTATATATAGCTATTCATTAGCTTCTTTCAAGATCAAAAAGCATTTGGCTTTCTAGAACACACATTGTTTTCATTAGATTATGCAGAAACAATATGCTGACTTGGAACTTCAAAATCATCAGTAACTTCTGTTAGATTCCCCATTAGAAATCTTTCATAAAACATTACTTCATTACTACAGAAACTTTCAGAAGGCTCTCCATTCTCATTATGCTGATATGTTTTTACAAAAGGAACTCCTCTACTATCCAACTCTGTTGTGTTGACCATATGCTAGCATTTGCAGCAGGGAAAAGGGTGTGCAAACACACTGCACCAATCTGAATAGCATTTAACACCAATTTCAGTGCCAGGGTGAAAATGAGTACAGAAGTTAAAGGCCAACAGCCTTTCCTAAAACCAATGAACAACACTGACTATAAAATATTTACTCTTTTATGAAAGTTTACAAATTTTCTTCAAATATTCAATGACTGCAGAATTTAAGAGTTCTTCTCAACTCTTTCTCAGCTAGCTCCACTTTTTTTTTTTTTTTTTCAGAAAAGCCCAAGAGTATTAAAAAGGTTGATTAATGCATTTATCGTTTGTAAGAGCTTGCTTATGGTTTGACAAGAACACTGCATGAAAAAGCAAGACCTTGAGGGGCCAGAGCAAAGATCATCCAGTTTCTTGCCTAAACCAGTGACACATGGTGGCAAACTAACCAGCATAATGGATTTAATGGATTTTGAAGCAATTTGTCCTTTTTTTTTTTTTTTTTTTTTTTAAATCTTTACGAGGGAGTTGTTCCACAGCGTAATTTTACTTTATGTACAAAAGCTTGCTTTCTTTCTCTTTATTTCCCCTTCCTTCCTCCCTTCCCCCTCCCGCTCCCCTCCCCTTTTGGTTGTTTTAAATCTACTTTGTAATGGTTTCAGTGGAGATTCTAGTTCCCGTATTGAGAAAAGCCATAAATCGTAATTCCTATTCAATTCTTCTATATGCTCTTCAGGATATTACAGGTCTATATTATATTCTTTATCACTTGTTTCTTTTGCAAGCTAAAGAAACTTTGTCAGTTTAGATTCTTCCCCTTCTAATAAACCATTTTTGGTTATCTTCCTTCTTCTTCTAATACGGCTGTATCCCCTCTGACATTTTATGTATTCAGCACATGTATAGACACTTCAAAATTGGCCCACACTTATTTTGTTTATAAGATTTCATGGAAAAATGAAAACATCTGTATGATTTGTTGAAGCTATTGCTTTAACATAATCCTGTTGAAAATTAGTTTCAGAAATTTCTCTGTTGGAATCCAGCACTTGTCCAGGGAAGAGCTAGGCACCTTATGATGATACTTCACTCCTTTTGCCACGCTTTTGATTTCATCAGAACTGTTGAAGCTCACGCTGAATATCAATATGAATCTAATACAGAGCATTTACACCTGTCTCTCTTAAAATATAAAAGACAAAACTTACCATGTCAGGATCTTTTATTTAAATKATTATAAAATTCTGTAAATAATTAGAATTTTTCTTTAATGAAAAATGTACTCTACCACACAGAAAGAGTGATTCTGAAGGAAACATCAGTAAAAATTATTTCTAAAAAAAGTTAAGGCAACAGAATGTCAGTTTAACACTGGCAATTTATTTTCATGTTTGCCACCAAGCATAAAAAATCTACACAAGAGACTGTCTCTTAAATGTAATGAAATATTATTTTATTCTTTTCTTATGGCTTGAGGATAATAGACATACGTTTTGAAGCAGTTATATGATCTGCAAAGGTGTCTAGAATCAGTGAGATAGATTCCCTAACCATATTAAAACATTTATATCAGATTTTCAAACTAAATTATTGGACAATCACATTAAACAATATTAAGCCTATACATAACCTGTCAAACAGAAGAATAAAAAAGCTTGCAAGAAGTCTAGGCCTTTATTCATATTGCTGCACTTCATTTCCTCTGTTACAGATTTTAAAGGGCATTCACAAAATATATACTAACAGATAAAACTAGTTCAAACTTGTTTTTTTTTTTTCACTCCAATTCAAGGTAATCACTTCCCTGACTGCAGGGAAGCACCATTTTTAAGTTCCCGTAAGTTTCCCCCTTCCTGCTCTCTGTTATTGTTTAGACAAAAAAATTACTTTCCATTCAACTTCTAAATTGAATTAACAAAGAAATTAAATTGGTGCCGCCTGATTCTGTTAAATTTCTTGCTAAGAGTGCTAGATATCTCCTAGTTTAAAAAGAAATAAAATCTTCAAAAATTTACAGTTAAGCAGAGAAAATTATACAAATCCAGATGCTTAAGTAGCAGATGAAACTTATTGCAATCATAAGTAGTAGTTGATTTATTACTAATCAATACATAGATTTTAGTAAATCAATAATTATTGTATTAAAGATGCATCACTGAAATCATTTAAGACCTGCTGGTCAATACATGGATTACACCTACATAAGAATATTTTACTCTTTTTGAGGCCACACACAAAAAATGACAACAGCATTTGTTTATCTTATTTCAGTTATAAACTGTGCAACAGGTACTTCAGCTTAATTTAACAGAGAAAGAAGGAAAATACAGGTTGCATATGTAACTGCAGTCCTTAAAAATCATTGAAATAAATCATGTATGTTGATTTTTGCATAATAGTTTTCTAGATGAAAATAAATGGGCAATTTATATCAACATTTGCAAAGATTTRTATCTGCAAACTACAG